TAAAAACCAAGCCTATAACAAGCTGGTTGCCCTAGCTAGGGTTAAGCTTAAAAACCAACCTTATAACAAACTGGTTACCCAAGCTTGGGTTTAGCTTAAAAACCAAGCCTATAACAAGCTGGTTACCCAAGCTTGGGTTAAGCTTAAAAACCAAGCCTATAACAAGCTGGTGGACCCAAGCTTGGGAAAGCTTAAATACCAAGCTTATAACAAGCTGGTTACCCAAGCTTGGATTCAGCTTACAAACCAAGCTTATAACAAGCCTAGTTTCAGCTTTTAAGCTGGTTATCCAAGCTTGGGTTAAGCTTAAAAACCAAGCCTATAACAAGCTAGTTACCCAAGCTTTGGTTAAGCTTAAAAACCAAGCCTACAACAAGCTGGTTACCCAAGCTTGGGTTTAGCTTAAAAATTAAGCCTATAACAAGCTGGTTACCCAAGCTTGGGTTAAGCTTAAAAACCAAGCCTATAACAAGCTGGTGGACTCAAGCTTGGGAAAACTTAAATACCAAGCTTATAACAAGCTGGTTACCCAAGCTTGGGTTCAGATTACAAACCAAGCTTATAACAAGCCTAGTTTCAGCTTTTAAGCTGGTTACCCAAGCTTGGGTTCAGATTACAAACCAAGCTTATAACAAGCTAGTTACCCAAGCTTGGGTTAAGCTTAAAGACCAAGCCTACAACAAGCTGGTTACCCAAGCTTGGGTTAAGCTTAAAAACCAAGCTTATAACAAGCCTAGTTTTTTAAGCTTATAAGCTGGTTTATAAGCTTAAACTAGTTAGTGCTTAGCTTTGTTAAAACTAGCTTATTAAACATGCTAAGCTTACACTAACATCCTGGTCATCCCGGGAGATTACGGGATATCTCAACGCTATCCACGATATCCTACAGGATTTCAAGGATATCGTGAGGACATCCAATGGATATCCTACGTTTTTATAAGATGTTTAGATACATTAATGATCTGATTACGTTGTCATTTTACAGTGTTTTTAAGTTTTTTTATGTATTCAATCCAATTATTTCTTTAACACATGCATTTAATCGTTACTCATGGAAATTATGTTAAATTATTAATTAACACTTATATAATATCTTCTGGACTACATCATGATTGTTGTTATGAACTACTATAAGCGCTTCCCTTAAGGGAGAAATAAGTCTTCAAATTATTTGACCCTCCTTCATTTCCTTGCTAATATTGTAACAAATATTCATAATTAAAAATGTGTAAATAATGTTAAGGTACAGGTGCATTTTTTGTGTTGATATTATGAATGGACCATTGTAAAAAATTATCCTTTGTTTTCAGTACTACGTTAAATATATTATACTTTTAAACCTATATTTAAGTGAGATAATAAGATATATTTATTTGTAACCGAATATATTATTTTGTTGCATTAAAATGGTGGTAGTGTTTTTTTTTTTAAGTACGGCAACGCTGGCTGGCAATCACTGAGCTAAAATTATAACTGGAGGTAAGGTAAATGCACCAGTAGCTGACAGTGCTCCAGAAGCTGACAGTTTGAGTTTCTTAACATTATAATGTGGTCTCTTAAAAATATTTACCCATGATTGCATTGTTAGAAGAACATATGTTTATTCTTGATTTGTTTACAAACAAATCAGTGAAATTTAGCCCATACTCGCGGAATGGTGGTGGTTTGAAAGCGACCCTGTCTGTACACATCACATTTAGTCGATTCCCTTAATGAAATTGTTAAGAAAGTAAGTTTGGGTTTTTTGTCATTTCGCTAAATTTCTTAAATAGTATTAATGATTAGGCTCATTATTTTTATCAATTATACCTTTGTTGACAATTTCATGATAAAATTGGGGTGTTAGGGGTTTTGGATTTAAAATTATATCAATGTCAGGCTTTGGTACACAAAAGCCATACAAGTTCCACTAGCTGACAGGGGATATTTGCTACTTGCACAATATTAAATTGGTTTTACCCATCGTAATTTGCATGCTATTTATAATTTATGTGATCTCACATTTTTATAAAATGATTTTAATTTTTTAATTTATAAGCCAAATTATCTTAAAAAAATGTAATTTTTTTAAATATATATATATATTTTTTAATGTAAATATTTTTTATTTTAAAATATGTAAAATAAATTTTCTTAACAGCGTTTTACATGATTTTATAATTTAATTATTAAGTTAGATTTCATTCGTCTTATAAATTATAAAACCCTTAGGTTTAGCAGCTATTACATTTATAGTTCCAGTGTCAGCTACTGGGACAACTGACAGTCAGCTACTGGTACAAGCACTTTTTTCACTGTCAGCCACTGAAACACGTACAAAGGTTGAATTAAGTTTAAAAATTTTATAAAATATATTTAAAAAAACCCTTTTTGTATGACAAATTTGAAAACTATACTAAATTTAGAATCACATAAAATCCGTAATATCTCTTAAGTTCCTATTTATTCAAAACCACGGATTATTAAGTGCGTATAGTTTCTTCTACTGTCAGCTACTGGTGCGTCTACCTTAGCACTGCCATGGCAGAAGTCTGTCAAAAGCGTGTCGCTGATTTTGTTAGGTTGGTATAGCAGTGAGTTTTCTTATCCAATAACATGGCTTCTATAACTAGGTTGGTATAGCAGTGAGGTTTCTTATTCAATATCATGGCTTCTTATAACTCACACCTCACGCAAACATGGCGGCTGGCGACACTCATCTTTGACATTCAGTGCTACCTCCAGTTAGAATTATAGCTCAATGCTGGCAATACTTTCTGTAGTTGTGGCATTTTCTTACACCCACCCACATCTCGGCATCATGTAGCCTATTTTTGTTTCAAATTTTAAATGTAACTGACCATAGTGGAAAATAATTAACATACAATCTGTAAAAAGAAAGTAAGGAAGAAATAACAATCAGAAAGAAGAAAGTGTAGCAGCATCTACGGTACACAAAAGAAATCTGTCCTAGAGGCTGCATGACAACTAGTAAAGCCTTCTGAAAAAGCAACGACGAACGAAGGAAGGGTGCCCATTTTATCACCAACACAGTGTTGACATAAATCGGTTCAATATCGTTCGTAATCATATCGACATATCGGTAGTCGATGTCATGTGGTTCGTGTCGATGTCGATTCGATGTCAACTGAACTCTGCCAAGCCAAGCCGCCTCCGCCTGCTGAACTGAAGCTCTGTCTTGATCTGACTGAGTGCCAGGCCAGGGTGCCCTGCCCAAGTGCCCAGTGCCCTTTGCCTTTTGAGTCGATATAGGATGAGATGTATTTATTTCTTGCTATTGATTTAACAGTCAACAACACAAACTTAAAAGAATTACGAAAATAATAAACAAAAACGAGTAATTAATGTTTCAACTAACTAATAACTTAATTACCACGTCTTGAGTTTACCTAACCTTTTATAATTGTATGATTTTGTAACTAAGTTAACCTAAACACCAAGTAACATGTAGGTACGAAACTTGATAGGCAAGGTTGACTCCAAACTCAAGAGAAGGGACTTACCAGTCCTCTTTTACACATAAACCCATAAGTTAACTAAAATATCAAATGTAAATTGAGATAAAGTTTTACTCAAGTCCTATGCTTACCATGTTCTAATGAACAACCTCAGTTTTTATTTGATTAGGCCAAACTTAATTCTAGACACGACAGTGTCAGATGTAGAGGAAGAGGACCTAGGCCCTAAAAACACTTGGCCGTGGTCAAGTTATGATTAGAATAGGTAGCACATTCGTAAATCTTTTTCTGAATTGTATGTGTAGCCAATTAAATTTGCTGTCGGGATTGATCAGTAGGAGTGCAATTCACCTAGCTGAATGTGTACTATCATTGGCTATTTACCATAAGTCATGGTATATAGCCAATGGTACTGTTCACGTAGCGGAATGGGTACTAGGCCTATCATAGATAAAACATACTACCTATTACCTACTATGCTTAGGTACCCCTAGCTCCCAACTTCAGTTAACTTACCATAGTTAGGCCTAACTTACCATGAGAGGACTCGGTGCTAGACAGCTTGAATGTTACTTGCCTTAGTAATCCAAAGGATCTTGGTCAAATACTATGAGAAAACGTGCCTCAAGTTGAAATTAGACCCATGTTCTGGGTTAGATGTAAGTTAGGGCCTATATCACTAGTCTCGAGCCTACTTTCAATTTATTTATGATCTTTTGCTAAATAATTGACCTCATGCTTTTCAGTATCATGTCAAAGTTTCAATTTTATTCTTCCAATATTTTATTTATATTTTTAAGAGGTCGGCAGCCTCTTTCCACCTTGCATTTGCCGCCCGTGGAGCTTAACTTATCTAGCAAAGCAAGGGTTGAGCTGGTACAGAAGAAGGGTGAACTATACCATAAAACATCTATGTACCGTCACCCTTGGGACTGGGAGCGTGACTGCTAAGGGTATAAGACAGATAGTAGGTATAAACCTGTACAGTAAGTTGACTCAAAAGGGTTTAGAAGAAATTAAACATAGTATACAAGTAAATTGTAAAGAACTGTAAATTTTGTATGTTGTAGACTACTTCTTTAATGTTCGTAAAGGCACACTTTAAAATAATCTAAGTACTGTAACCTAAGCGGGTTACGGAAAACAGAGTGGTGGTTATCAGGATCTGAACCAATGACATTGCTACCTCTTGGGCACAAGTCTGAAGCTCAGTCGCTAACGCCAGAGGCTCATCTGGGTGTTGCGGGCTCCAACAATGCTTGGTAGTTAGCAAAAAAATAGTGCATATGCTGTCCAAAACGATCTATGATACAAAAATAAATTCTGAAACTGTGATACACTATTCATTTCATTAACTAAGCTGTTATTGAGGGAGGTTAAAATAGTATAACAGTGCCTGGTAAAAATACCAGCAGATATTAGTAGCCTACATAGGCCTGTTAAATTAATTTTCAATTTACACCATAGGCTATTACAATAATTACTTCGTAAATAAAAACACTCGGTGAATAATACAAGACTTTTTATATTAAAAGGGTTTTTATTATAAAAGTAAATAAATTATTCGTGCTTCAGACGCTTTGCCCCACTACCTTCTGGAAATTCTATAATAGGCAGTGTACTGGCTTCTTTGAGTAGGTCTGCTGCTAGTCCCACTCTACAATTCTGTCCTGAAAACCAAAATACTTAAATCAATAATTTATCTGTCAATAAACCTTGGAATTAGAAGTAACTGAAATTTTACAGAATTATTTTCAAACCTCAGATATTGAAATTGTTAGTTATTAGGCCTACTTTTGTGTCTTGAGGAGATGTACAGCCCATATGTTCTATAGTTGTATAACAATAATGTCATAGGCCCAACTATTTTTTAATCTTATTCTTGAAAATATAACTAAGGATAGCAAATTGGAATTTCTTGTTTTGAAGGTAAAAACTAACACCCCATTAACACTCACCATGACAACCTGTCGCTATCGTCCGATCTTGCTGGTTTGTTCAACAAAATTTTAATACAAGGAACATTTATGTAACAAATGTCCTTAAAAGCAGATAATTTTTTCATGAGTTTAAAGTTATTTTGTATACGGACACAACCATTGATTGCTTTCAACATAGCCTACGTAAAATCATATCGTATGGGAGCAGTATATAGGCCTACTTACAAATATACTAAAACTAATAGATATGTAATCTTTGGCTAAATTACCTCTTTTTCTATGCAAGGCAAGCTTTCCATAGTTATCCCTGTTGCTAATTTTAGTGTTGTTGTTGCTTGTAGTGATGTTTAAACGGTCTTTAGATGAATGTTGAGGCGGCATTGGCAACCCATTGTCCTTATCACTTGTAACTTTAGCAGTTAAAACTTTTAATGCTTCATCCAATATATCGCAGCCTTCTTGAAGTCCATCTTCATCCAGGTTCCACATGACAGATTGAATTGATCTCAAGGTAGAATTCATCTTGTTGATCATTTGGCGTTTCTTACATCCCCTCCGAGGTAATTCAGCATAGGCGACTATCTCTTCACTGCGGATAGTGGAAGTCGAAGCTATTTCAGTAGCAGGTTCATCAACTGTCATTGATGTACAAATGCCAACATCAGTATCCAAACAAAAAATTGGGTTGTCAAATAACCATTCTTGAATAAAGTCAATATTCCATTCAGGATACTTTCTGCCAACATAAATTATGTGTTTGCAAACCAATCTTTCTTTCTTGAAATCTGGACAGCTACAGCTACCTTGTTTAGCTGGCAATTCAAAGGCTACTCTATAGCTTGTTGCAACTGTTTTTACTTCATAAACACAGCATGATTTCTGAATAACCTCAGTGCTGCTGGGTATACTATCTGCAGCATTTATTCTGCTTAAAATATGGTCTATAAACCATTTAGGTCTCTCTTTAAGAAAATTTGGGAGATCATCCGTGTATTTCCTTGACAATGTAGACATTTTTATATTCTCTCTGACATATGTTAGGAACCTTTCTGGTAAAAACTTGGTTAGTACGACAGAAATCATTTCGCTAAGCGAACAACCTTTAAAACCCTCTAGGAATCCATACTTAAGTTCCTTATTAATCCTTTCCACACCATTGTTGGAGTTTAAAAACATTTCAACAGGTTTGAAAAATAACGCCCAGCGTTTTATTTCTGGAAGCCAAGTTTTCTCAAAATAGTTTTTTAAAGGAGAGTTTTTGTAGTGTTCCCATTCTTTTAAATTGCTGATGGCTTCATTCAATTCTTCTTCACTTACAGCATAAGCTACTTTCCTTAACATTTCTAAGCATTGTTTTCTTGGGACTTGAGCATTTTTTGATTTGGAAACCCACCTAGTCCATGCCTGCTCGCGATGGAATGAGCATATGAACACTTGAATGTTACAAAATACCTCCTCCAAGCTTAAAATCTCCTCCATTGCAAAATCCACCATTCCAAATTTAGGACATATATCCGGATTGAAGGACTGAAAAATTCTCAATCCTTCACTGATAGCCTCCTTTGTTTCCATTTGGGTTATAATTACACCAACAACCTGAAAGTTGACATTGGTGTCAACCACTACAAAATATAGCGGTAACGCATATTTGCAAGTGCGGTAGGTTGCATCCAATAATATTGTGTTTGTGCCATATTTTCTATAGAGGAATTGCATGTTTTTGTTTTGAAAAACAAACAGCAAATGTTTTGAAGTTGCTGGTGTTTCTACGAGATACAAATTAGAGTTTTCATCCTCATCTTCAGCAACAGTGCACGGTCTGAAAAATATTTGATTAGAACTGTCTTTTTGAAACTCCTCTAACATTTGGGAACAATTTTCTTGATCAACAGGGCTCCTTCTTATTTTTAACTTTGTGGCCGATATTAAGTTTCTAATTGATGCCATGTCAGGAAAAAACTTTCGGCGAGATCTGTCTCTTTCTTTAAGGTCATTCTCTGCAAAGGCCTGTGCCAGCTTTGCAACCACTTGAGGATTTCTTTCTCCTTTAACAACTAGTTCAGCAATAAATTTCCTTATTTCCTTAGAAATTGGTTCAATAACTGCAACATTTAACCCAATTAAATGGTTATTGTGGTCTTCTAGTTTTGGTAAGCTATAAATGTAGCACTCCTCTCCAAAACAAGTCTCATCGAGGATCCCCTTTTTTAAAGCCTCAGAGGCAGCTCGCTTTTTCCTTGCTGTTATATCACCAGTCAACTGCAACAGAAAAATATACACTATGAAACATATAATAAATTAAACAAAAATATGTTAGCGTTTAGTGTGTGACTTGCTTTGTACACTGTTCAGTTGGTTCCCGTAAATTTCCCTGTAAAATACCCTTCTGGCAAGCTTAGAAATAAACTTCTTGTCTTGTCTTTCTCCATCCAATCGGCAATACAGTGGGATCTGCTAGTTCCAGACAGTGCTGCTGTCTGTGAGTATTTCAGGAGACTATATCGACTCTTGCAGCACATCACCGTAGGTCTTATCAAATCGTCAGACTGAAATATTTGAAAGCCAAACGAGTTCTCTCAACACTGCGCCACACCGGGGCTACGCCTGCCATTGGTGGGCTGCAGCGAACGTGTTAACAATTTATAGATTGCATGCAGCGCTTTATGACTTTAAACTTTGTACTTAAAAATATTTTTGTTGTTTTTAATCCAGGCCTAAGTAGAGTAGGCTATATTAAACATTGTTCTGAATAAAACTTAGTTTTTTATAAGTAAAATAAACAGTATCAGAAGACTGGCACTTTCTTTTATTTGTTTGACAATGTTGACAAATTATTGATGAAAGTGTTACTTTTTCAAATAGGCCTACTATGGAAAATCAGTAATTTTTTGTATTTTTCTGTGAGCCCCTAGTAAAATCCACATGACTTCAGTGATCGGTAGGCCTACCCTGTACAAAGGTTGAGTTTTCCACAGAGGAACTACCATACCGTGCTAACATGTAAAGTTCTCTGTTAAGGTACTATAGGAAGGAATCCTTTCTTTCGAATTGTACATTGGGTACTTTCCTGTTATATGGTATCTGCGTTTATTAATCAAACAAAAACAACAAACAATTATTACATCTGAGTTTCGGGTGGCCAGAAGTAACGAATTACGGACTCTGGATCGACGAAGTTGTACTTTGGTTAGGTTAGGTTAGGTTAGTTTATCAAAAGCATGAGTATTGTAAGTAACCTAACCAAACCTAGCCTAAACGGTAGTATGTGCTCCGGACTCTGGATCGACGAAGTTGTACTTGTGGTTAAAGAATTTTTTCGCAGGTACCAGATAACAGGAAAGTACCGTATATTGTCTTGCCGATGAAAATTCAATTACTGTGAGTTCCAAATCGGTCAGCCCTTTTTTTGGACTTTGTAATATGGAGTGTATAAAAATGAATAGGTAGTTAATCCTTAAATATTAAGAGATTCTTTACAGACTAAAATTTTATTCTGAATCATCAAAATTTTCAATTTAGGCTATCTAGTTTTTGAATTGCTAAGAGTAGACCGTAACACAATTGGGTGTTTCAGCATACTATGGGCTGCATGCATTTTTTTGTAGGTAACTTTTGTTGCTTTTTTGTACTTACCTTATGATTTTTGAATTGTACTACTCTTTTGACATTAATTCTAGCTTGACAATCCAGTTTTTTTGTTGTTTGCACTTTTTTGTAGTGTCTAGTAAACACATGATCATTCTTAGCCTGAAAAAAATATATTAATTCAATAACGGCACACAGAACTTTCAGCTTATTTCAGGGACATTTACTAAAAAAATCAAAGAAACGTTACAAGGAAAAACAATAATTAATCAAATTGACAGTAATAAAAGGTTGGATCACTCAATGAAAATTTGCTAATAGTATTTAGTTTATTTTCATTTAAGCTTAATAATTGTTGTAAATAAACTGTTTAAATACATTCAGTGTACAGTACTAAAAAATTTAATATTCGTAGCAGAATTCATACTACTTATGGTTAGAATTCTGCTTTAAGTTACAGTACAACCTCTTTAATCCAAACCCCCGTAATCCGAACGTTCACTAATACGAACACCTGATTGCTGTACTCTATACACAGTACAGTACTGTTTAAATTCACTATGTTTACTATTGTAAATAAACAAACTGTATTTAAATTTAAAAAGCATTTTTTAACTTTTCCCATAGCAATTACAATCCATTTTAGCCATGTTTTAGCTATTGTTATGTAAAGACAACAATATGTTCTGTAATCCAAACTATTCAATTGGTTGAACAACCCCCCAACCCAATTAGTTCGGATTAAAGAGGTTCTACTGGTACTTATTCCCCGAAAACAGCAACAGAAAGAGTTAGGCAATGAAGTTTTACAAATGTAATTAAAAAAACGGTTGTAGGGAAAGCAAATTGCGAAATTACCGTTTAACTTACCACACTTTTAGAAGTTTTTAAGGCACTCACTTATATATAACTGTACTTGTGACATAAATACTATTAGGCTAAGATTTTCTGAAATTAAATTACCAAAGTTGGGCCTATTCTTTTACAAAAGTAAAGTTAACATTCTGTTTCAGTAGGCCTAATATCTTTCACTAGTAATAAATTTTACCTTTGATTCCCGATCTTCTGAATACTTCTTTTTCTTATTGGCATTAAAATCTTTTCCTTGATGGCAGACAAACAATGAAGATTCTAGCCAAATATGTGGAATATTTTCTTGCCAATGAATCCTTACATTTGGTTTGGAGATAGCAGCTGTCAACAATAACAGAAACCAAAGTTATAATACATTAAGATAGAGCCAGCTACATTGTGTCAACTTAGAGATTTTTTCAGAGTTTTGATTAATCTCCATACGTACTGTAAGTTAGGCCTATTTAGTTTAGAATCTGTTTTACTCAACAGTTATACGCAAGATCGAACCATTGAGAATAACTATGAGAATAGTATCAGGACTTAAGGATTCCATAAGTTAGGCCGTAAGCGTATACAAATAAATGAGGAACATGAGCGCTTGTGGCACTATCAAGGCTGATGGATCAAATCAAATCATTTATTGATCATGGACATTTACATGCATTGACATTGTCAGTGGAGCAGAACATAAAATTTCAATGTTCATTGTCTAAATAATAAGAGGTAACTTGGGTATGAGTCTTTGTTGTACAAATTCCTTTTCCAAAATCCATTCAATATAAGTTAGGCTAGGCCAAGCTTCTTAATACCTCAATAACTCATTTATTGAACCAAGTATAATAGACATATTTACATCTAGGCCTACTAAAATCCTGTAAGTAGACGATGTCATTTAACTAATACCTAATACCTAATAATAAAATTAACATTAAACATGATCTTTACCGGTACTAATCACTTTGTTTACCGGGATTAAGTTATTATGACTCTAGCCGTCAGTCAGGAAGTCAAGGACGCTGTCACAGTATCCTACTTAGAATTTATTTAATAGAAATTATTTTCACTTCCTTTTGAATTTCAGATGATCTGACCCTGCCTTTAGCCTAAATGTGTTGGAAGATTGTTTAAGAAATTTAATGCATTTTAAGTTAATGGAGATTTTTTTGAACAAAGTTCTTAGGTAGGCTAAACCGTTAGGACTAGGCCTAATTTAATTTAGTTTTCAGGGAGACAACCTGTGATAAATGATAAATGATAAATGATAAATGATTTATTCAGCCATTCAGTATTTACAAATATACAATAGGCATTGTCAAAAAACAGCCAAAATAAACAATACAGAAAGCTGCAATAAACTAAAAACTATAAAATCAGCAAAACCATGCAGGTGCACAAGCAAGCAAAATCAATAAATATAGTACATATACCTTTCAGATTCCTATTCTAAGGTACAATAAATAAATGGGCCATGCTTCATAGCAACAAAAAATTCTTCTGTCTTATAAAAAGGGTTTGCCAATAGCCACTTCTTCAGAATGATTTTAAATTTTGAATTTGGAAGTGATTTCACTTGATCTGGTAGAGAGTTGAAGAGATTGATACCTGTAACAGGGAAGCATTGTTGGGTTTTACTTAGTCTATTATAACTTATGTGAATATTGTTACAGAATCTAGTGTTATACTGGTGTACATCTGAATTTCGAGCAAGTGTGTTTTCTGATTCTTTAATGGCCATGAGACACTGAAAAATATAAACGTTGATAACAGTCATGATCTGCAACTCACAAAACAAAGGTTTACAATGAGCTTGATACTCAGTCCTACAGATTACCCTGACTGCTTTCTTCTGTAGCAACAGAATCTTCTGAGCCTGGGGGGAGTGGCCCCATAGCCTGGTTCCATAAACAACATGAGCCTGAAAGAAAGCAAAAAAGGCAAGTCTTACAAAATCAAAGGGCATCTCATATGAGAGCTTACGAAGCAGACACGTTACTCTATTCAACTTGGAGCACAGTGCTTCAATGTGGTCACTCCACCCAAGCTCAGAGTCAAGGGTGAAACCCAACAATTTTACCGCCTCTTGCTTATTCACATTCTTGCTAAGACTGAAAAGGATTTCCTGTGTTTTCCCTTGGTTGAGAGCTAGTCTATTGCCTGAGAACCAATCAGTGGCAGTATTAAACATTCTACTTACAGCTAGTTTAGCAGCTACAGGATCTAAATCGCTAGCAAACAGGGTTGTGTCATCTGCGTATAGCAGCACATCATTTGACACATTGTAATAAATGTCATTCATGGCCACAATAAAAAGGAAAGGCCCAAGTATCGAGCCCTGAGGGACCCCATGCTTCACTTGAAGAGGACTGGAATGGTCACCAGCCCAGCTTACCACCTGAGACCTGTCTTCAAGATATGAACGGACCACCCTGAGTGCAAACTCCCCCAGTCCGAGTCTCTCAAGTTTATCTAAAAGAATATTATGCGGCATACAATCGAAGGCGCGAGATAAATCACACAAGAGAACAGCAGTAGAAGACTGCCTCTCGAAAGCGTCCAAAACAACCCGTATGAGGGAGTCCACAGCGGTGACTGTGGAAAAGCCTCTCCGGAAACCATGCTGAGCCGGAACAAGGAGACCATGCAACTCAAAGTGGCCATACAACTGGTTTAACATTAAACCCTCAAGGATCTTACTAAAAACTGGTAACAGAGATACAGGTCTATAACTAGCCATGCTATTTCTGGGCCCCTTTTTGTACACAGGTACAGTCCTTGCCCTTTTTAGGACTTCCGGAAAAACCCCTTCTAATAGGCAGCTATTGAACAGATGAGCTAGTATTGCGGCAATATAAGGTACAATTTTTTTCAAAAACTCAGTGGACATATCAAACACATCCTTACTACATGATGGTTTAAAACTATTTACAATATTTACAACCTCAGTGGGTGTAACCATCATCCACTCAAAGGCTACTTGTGACATAGGAATATTATTTAAATAATCCACCTTATTTCCTACAATACCACTCACGATATTGTCTACAGAGTCGAGGAAAAACAAGTTGAAGTCCTCCGCAGAGGCAAAGTCGGTCTCAACATCACTTCTGGGACTGGACCTGCTCCGGTTGATAAGACCCCACGCTGCCTTGCAAGGGTTGGCAGCCCTTGCTACCATGTCAGCAGCCGCAGACTGTTTGGCCACCCGCAGCTGCCTACGATATTCCTTTCTCAAACCCTGCAGATGAGGGAGCATGGACGGATCTGACTTGGTCAAGTCACGCACAGACAGAATATATTGTTTGAAATTGGCAAGCTCTGTAGAGTACCAATTTTTTAAGTTTATTAGGCCTATTCACACTCGACAATGCACTGCCCACAGGGCTTACCGGTACCGTCTTTTGAATTAGCGGAAAATGCAGATCAAATGTATCCTTGAATTTCGAAAAGAAATCCGTAAAGGCCACCTCTGCCGGAAGCGCACACACATCATTGAACCATATTGGCACATGGTTTGCCACGTCATTAATAAAAAGATTCATTCTAAAATCATTAGAGAGTCTAAAAGTTACCAGTTTAGGCGAACGCTTTAAAATGTTACGGGACTTGAGCATTAAGAGAACATGCTTATGGTCAGCTATCTGTTCATCACTAACAACTACATTGTACTCCCATACGTTTAAATTAGTGAGAAAGGAGTCCAAAGAAGCATTGTTCCTTGTAGGGACTAAGACACTGCTGTACAATCCAAAGCTACGTAGGATATTCAAAAAGTCTACAGAATCATTATTGTGCTTCAATAAGTCTATATTATGGTCCGTACCAATAACTATCGATAGATTGAAGGTAATTAAAAATGTCAAACACAGTTCCAAAAGGGAGAAGAATCTTTCAACAGAACCACTAGGGGATCGATACATGGCTACTACGATAAGATCAAAATCATGCATCAAAATTGCAGAAAACTCACCCTCAAACTCTTCACAGTAGTTGCTTAGATCCAAACCTGTACACTTAAGACCAGGCTTAACATATATGGCAACACCGCCACTAGGATTTTTCCTGCAAAAATGAGAGGCAAGACCGAGTTCACCAATGTTGCTGTAACACTGAACTTCTCCGGACACCAACCAGTGTTCAGACACCACCAAAACATCAAGACTATTATCAGCACAGAGTAATTCCAACTCAATAGTTTTATTCCTTAAGCACTGTATATTGATCGAGCACAGGTTAAGGGCAATGTCACTAGGGACAGTGTCTAGGATATCGCTGGGTTGATTTGGTTGCTCGGTAAAAAAGTCTGAGACCTCAAAAAGTTAGGCCTAAACCGATTAACCACAAACTCCCGAACTAGAGTTCCTTGGGGCCAGAAAGCACCGTCCAAGATCTTGGTGAAATCCTCAGGTTTAACACCTATCTTAAACGACCTGTATGAGCTATGTTTCGTTTTCAATTCCACACAGTCTACCTCAATGTCACTTTTCCTTGTATATTGCAGAATGTCTTCTTTGCTCACTTCTTCAGTGAATCTGGAGACAAATATCCACTCCTTCTTCTCAAAGATTCGGATCTTTAGCGAATCACCAGTATCAACTTTAGTGCCGATGATAGGGTCACTCTGCCGTTTTTTTACACTCTTGCGTTTACGATCTTGCCTACTAGGGACAGTTTTCCAAGCCAGTTTACTATTTGAAGTTTCAATTGAAGGGAATTGCTCTTCATAGTCAGTAATAATATCTTCACACTCACTGTTGATGTCGATAGTTTCACTCAGTGTATGAGATTCCGTGTCACCACCACGATTACGATTGAGATTGAGGTTATTGCCTTTTTTCGTCTGCAGCTTCGTCTGGTGGACCCGAGAACTGGCAACTACTGCCGAGGTCAGGTCAGTTTCTTTCGGATAAATCGTAGTACACTTGACTTCGTCAGTATCCGGTTTCACTACTTCTAGACGTTCACATAACCTTTTGTTAGTAATCGATAAATCGTTAATTGACTTATTGATATTAATATTGTCCTGCAATAAGCCGCTCACAGAAGTTACCAACTTTTCTACACAACCACGTAGACTGAAAAGTTCGTCAAGAATTGGAGCACTGGCAATCACATTGTCCACCTTCCCAGCACATGCATTGCAGTACCACTTAACAATGTCTGATAACTCCGTTATTTTGTCATAGCACTCATCCTCGATGTTAACACACGTAGGATGATACCATCCGTCACACAATCCGTCGCAATAAATACCACGACTACCCTTTTTTATCAGCTTTTTACACGAATTACACGGAGCAGACGAGGAGTTAGCACTGTTGTTCACCATATTCAAACCGGGGATGATATATTAAGCTTCTCAGAGGAATAATGATAAAAATATTGTAGGCCTATGTTTATTTATTTCTTTATTTAAATGGCCTAAGTTAGGTATTGTTACTTTTATTTATTAAATATGAATAAACACATAAACAAATCAAATTCAATGTAAGTTAAGTTATACATTGGAAAAAAACAATAAGTTAGGCTAGGCTATTTTGCAAGTAAGTTAAATTGATAACTTATAATGGGTTAACTTTCATAAGCAGGGCTTAAAAAAACCTACACTCATTCGAATTAAATTTTCGATACATCGATTATTTCATTCGATAACTTAGGGTAACTTAAGTTATATCTATTTAAGTTAGTTTGGTTGGATAAGTAGGCCTAGCCTAGAACCGCAAGAAATAATTGATAACTTAAGTTAGCCTATTTCGAATAATCAATTACAGTTTTCATTCGGTTATTTGGTGTCCTGCTTTGAAAGTACCCCTAGTGCCTAGAAACGGTGTAAAGCTCATGAAATCATAGAAGCTGGCACTTGGCCTAGCGCGGGCAGTGTTGGCGGGAGGTGGGTGGAGGTATGGAAAAGACCGGACAGCAAACATTGCCTCTACCTCATAGGCCTAGGCCTAGGACTATTTATATGATACGATTTCTAAGCAAAATAAGTTTAATGCTAATGTAGGCCTAATAAAGTTCCCTCTCTCTCTCTCTCATTAATAAATATGATAGGGCCTAGGCCTATTAGTTAGCCTATTACGAATAATCAATCACAATTTTCATTCGGTTATTTGGTGTCCTGCTTTGAAAGTACCCCTAGTGCCTAGAAACGGTGTAAAGCTCATGAAATCATAGAAGCTGGCACTTGGCCTAGCGCGGGCAGTGTTGGCGGGAGGAGGGTGGAGGTATGGAAAAGCCCGGACTGCAAACATATCCTCTACCTCATTTTTATTTCGGCTTAGGCCTAGGCCTATTTATATGATACGATTTCTAAGCAAAATAATGCTAATGTAGGTACTTAGGCCTAATAAAGTTCCCTCTCTCTCTCATTAATAAATATGATAGGGCCTAGGCCCAATTCTTGTTAGATTTTAGGCTTAGTGGAATTTTTTACTGCTTCAGTAATTTCGACTTAACTTACCTTTCACATCTAAAACCCTTTTGGAACATTTCTGGTAAACAAATCTGCTCTTAGTGGCCGTTTCATGTTCCGCAAGAACGCCCAAAAATTCTTCATACGTGCGGGAATACATGTCCTGATTTTCTGACATCAGTGACATCTCTTCACACTCCATCTTTCTTGACACCTTGGCTTAGTTCCACAACGAGAACGAACGAAACATTAACAGTTAACAAAACATAAAAGGTTCAATTCAATAATCAAACTCATAACCAAACTTAACAACGACCGACATCAACAACAGAAAACTTAACAGATATATTAACAGAAAACTCAAATACGATTCTATTCAACTACCACATTAGATTGCGAAATGCAAACTTGACAAGAACACAGACACCGAAACCGAAAGGAGGACGAGGACTACAGAACAGGACTTAGTCAGTCTTCTCTTCTTCAGCAAATAAAACGATGGTTGACATCGATCACTGGTTGACTAATCGAAAGAAATCAGTTCGATTGGTCGAAATGGTTACGCAAAAAAATGTCAACACTGTGTAGGTGATAAAATGGCCACCCGAAGGAAGACATCAGGGACCATGGATCAGTGCGGATGTTATAAAAAAAAAAACTCATTACACAAAAACAGTACTGTTCTGCTGCATTTTTGGATGTACAACGGGCTTTTGACAAGGTGTGGGATGGTGGACTTTTGTTTTATATTGGCCTTCCTCATTTCAGATAAAGAATTTTCGAATTTTATTTGAAAGGATTGACTGGTCAGATGATTTTAGAAGGTTGTTCAAAGAGTGAGGGAGAGACGTTTTGAGTTTAAAAAAAAGTCCACCATGCCACAACTTGTCAAAAAACAGTTTTACATAAAAAAAATGCAGCAGAACAGTACTGTTTTTGTCTAATGAGTTTTTTTTAGCACATCCAAACTAATCTGTGAGTTTTTGTAATGGAGTGAAAATTTAAAAACGTACGTTTTCATGTCCCTGGCCTTTTACTTCGTAGATACTGGATTTGTAGTTTATTATTATGTGTTTTAATATTTTTTGGGACGGGGGCAACATGTTACACACATTTATTTGGTTTTAAATAGGTTCTAGGTATTTTTTTCGTATTTTTAAAGTCTCAAAATTCACGACCATGACGTGTCCTTAGGGTACATGTTCCAACTTTCACGCTGTTTTTAGACTATTCATGCCGAAATATATAAAGCCATATTTTTATGTCATCAATGGTTATTAAACTTACAAAAAAGGAGCATATTATAATTTTATTGTCATCGCAAACTGACTACCATGACAAAATAAGTCTGTCCCTCGATTTGGAGTCACGACCATTTGGGAAAAAATTTCAACTTTGGAGCACGACAGTGGCAAGCCTGGCGTCGATGGAGTCAGTTGGTTTGAGAGACTAGTTCGAGGTGGGTACTTTCCTGTTAAAGGGAACATTCATTATTATCGATGATTTCTTTTCGATACATCGATTTCTTTTTCTTTACAATACTGTACATTACAAATTGACAGCTGATATTTAGGCTAAAATATAGTCTGTTATATGTAAAGAAATTAATCTGTTCTAAGCTAACCTAACATAACCAACCAAACTTGCTGTACCATTTAAAAATTCCGTTTGGTAACAGAAAAGGTGAGTGGAGAATATTAAATGGAGTTTTTAAATGTTACAGCAAGTTTGGTTAGTTTTGTTAGGTTAGTTTAGATCAGTTTTATTTCAATATTTTTTTAAAATTTTTGTTTGTCGATTCTGAACAATATTTATTTATCGTAGTGTCAGCTGATATGTTTCAATTTGTTAATATCGATATATCGGGAAAAAAATCATCGATAATAATGAATGTTCCCTTTAACAGGAAAGTACCTCGGGGTGTACGTCAGGATTGTAGTGCCGGTCGTTTCGAGTTGAAAGGATGAATTACAAGATTAATAAAGGAAAGATTGTGTTTTTTGTAATTTTGGTGTGTCCATGACCGTACGTAGTCATTCGATGAAGTAGACATGGTGTTCATTTTTGTTTATAAGATATTTCAATCAATTGCTAGATTAACCTAGAAGTCCACTTTATATCCTCGAACATGAGGTGCAGGGCTACCGCCAGAACAGAGCCAAATAACACGTAATTTCACGACCAAAGTTTCACGACCATCGCGGGTTTTTTCACGACCAATGCTGCCTTATGGATTATAGTGTGTTTGGTCATGACAATAACTTTAATATAATTGTAAATTGAACAGTTTAGTTAAATTGAAACACATATTTTTATTATAACTAACAGTATAATTGAAGGATTGCTTAGAAAGATTTAAATTATTCCAGAAAATTCACGACCGTACCGCTTGTCCCTGACCATCACGTTTATGATTTCTATCATAAAAATTTCAAAAATTAAAATTTATAGCAAAACATAGTTATAAAAATAATATTAACCATTTTTAATAATTCATTTAAACGTCCGTTATGGTCGTGACAGGATTTTGTGTTTTTCCACTAAAGATGCTCTTTTAAAAAATAGCTACCAAAGATATTGCGTTACCATGGACATTTTATAAAACTTCAAATGTTAATGAAATAAAAAAAATAATAAAAGTTTTGAAAAAAGGGGAAAAAATTTGCAAAGTGTTTTTCCTGAAAACGTACGTTTTTAAATTTTTACTCAATGGTGGAATGTTCTTTGTGGACTGATGATTAATATTTAATTTAATTTAATTTAACTAATCTACAGTCGAGGTTGACCTTTTGAGTATTATCTTTTCAAACAATTTGGATACTATAGGAAGCGGGCTTATGGGTCTGTAAGAAGATACGCCATTATGGGGTTTGCCTGGTTTCGAGATAACAACTATTCGTACAATTTTCAGTTGTTGAACTAATATTCTAATCGTAACAACATTAAATATAAATTTGGAATGCCTTTTCGGAGTAGTTTTTTATGTAGAATTTTGAACTTATCGGATCAACTTAAGTCAACTATCATTCAGTATAGTACCATCTGTTTTTGGTAGTCATATTACCATATTTTTTATTGTAAATTATTATTATTGTTACTATCGCTATAGTTTCTCATGTTTTATTTCTTGTTATTATTGTATTAGTGAATTTCCTATATAGGGAATAAGACCGTAGTACTCATGGTAAGACCTGGACCCGAGACCGTTTCAATTTTTCGTTTTGAGGTCCCTAGAGGCCAAAAACACCATCTGTTCAAATTCATATATATATGCGTCCGTTTAGCATTATAACTCGAACAAAAATGATCCGATTTTGATGAAATTTAGTACACACGTGTAAACCTACATTTATTCGAACGATTTCACGAACCAGCATGATCGAACTATAGGAACGGTGATGGGGTAAAAATAGGGTTTCCCATTTTTTACCTTAAAAACACAAAATTTCGCAACTTCTTTCCAGACCATTTTGCAGAGCTTAAAAAAAACCAAATAATTTAGTATATTGAAGCGTTATTGAGTGCGCCTAATGGTTACGGAGAAAATTCCAAAAACTTGTACATTTTAAAATTCCCATGTTATTATTATGGAGAATAAGTCAACTGGTTTAGTTGGTTTCGTTTGTTTTGTTTATGAATATATTTTGATCAAATTTGGAAAATACATTCATTTCTCTTTAAACTACAGTAGGTACTTTTTTACCCTCCCTGCTGCAGCAAACCTAAGTACTCGTTAAACTAATCCTATTTAAATAGGGAATAAATGTGCAATTTTCAAGGAGAAATTTTAGTGTAAATCCAATCAGGCAAATGAAAATTCACTAAGTCTGCAGGTTTGCTGCAGCGGGGGTATTTTCCACTTTGAAGTGGCTATGCCGTTGGGAAGTAAATACAAATGTAAATAAA